GCTCATGGTGGAGGTCGTCGAGTCGACGGTAGCAGCTGGACGCAGAGTGGTCAGGACTCCAGCAGGTAGTGCCAGCACCAGGGCTTGTCAGGGCCCGCTACCCGCAGGGGCCGACGTCTCGCCCACTGCCAGCTAAGCCACTGCTGGGGGCGCCACACTTTGGACCCGCAGGTCCCCACTGCCGGGAGTGCTGCGGCTGGCCCTGCTGCTGTAAAACTCTAGTACACGCCATCTGAGGAGCTAGATACGGGGGGGGTTGCGCTGGTGGTAGCCTAAGCTGCTGCTGGTGCGCTGGGGGCAGCCTATGCTGCTGCTGGTTCTGCTGGGGGCAGCCTACGCCGCTGGTGGTTCTGCTGGGGGCAGCCTAAGCTACTGCTGGTTCTGCTGGGGGCAGCCTACGCTGCTGCTGGTTCTGCTGGGGGCAGCCTACGCTGCTGCTGCTTTCGCTGGGGGCAGCCTAAGCTGCTGCTGGTGCTCTGGGGGCAGCCTATGCTGCTGCTGGTTCTGCTGGGGGCAGCCTACGCTGCTGGTGGTGCTGCTGGGGGCAGCCTAAGCTGCTGCTGGTTCTGCTGGGGGCAGCCTACGCTGCTGCTGGTTCTGCTGGGGGCAGCCTACGCCGCTGGTGGTTCTGCTGGGGGCAGCCTAAGCTGCTGCTCGTTCTGCTGGGGGCAGCCTATGCTGTTGCTGGTTTTGCTGGGGGGCAGCCTAAGCTGCTGCTGGTGCTCTGGGGGCAGCCTACTATGCTGCTGCTGGTTCTGCTGGGGGCTCTGGGGGGGGGGCAGCCTACGCTAGTACGTGTGCAGTGCGGTTCTGCGCAGTTCTGTGCGGTTGTGTGCGGTTCCAGGGGAGCTAGCACGGGTGGAGCGCGGTTCTGTGCAGTTCCAGGGGAGCTAGCACGGGTGGAGTGTGATTCTGTGCGGTTCTGTGCGGCTCTGTGCTGTTCTGTGCGGTTCTGTGCGGTTCTGTGCGGTTCTGCGAGTACGGGTGGTAGACTCTGGTTTCCAGGTGTTGCTAGTTGGTGGGGCTGAGGGTAACTGGTGGGGCGGCGGGTGAGGCAGCTCGTGGGGCAGCGGGTGTCAGGTGGGGCGGCGGGTTTCAACTCGTGGGGCGGCGGATTTCAGGTGTGGTGGCGGTTTCAACTCGTGGGGCGGCGGATTTCAGGTGTGGTGGCGGTTTCAGCTCGTGGGGCGACGGGTGACTGGTGGGGCGGCGGCTAACAGATGGGGCGGCGGGTAAGGCAGTGGTAAAAGGGTGGGGCAGCGTTTAAGGCGGCGGGTAACGGGTGGGGCGACGATTTGCACGTGCGCGCGGCTGCTGCTGTGCGTGCGTGCGACTAATGACGGGACAGCGGGGCCCGCTATCGAAAGGTCCGCGGGGCCCGCTATCGAAATGGTCGCGGGGCCCGCTATCGAAATGGCCGCGGGGCCTTCTAACGGTCAGCCGCGAGGCGCGCCCGTAAATCGACGGGCGACGGATGACGGGGAGAAAACGGGCAACGCGCGACTGGGGGAAACGGACGACGGGCGACGGCGGGGGGGGGGGGGGAACCGGGCGACGGGCAGGCTAAGCGCGCTACGGGCGACTATCTAGTACGGGGCGCGTCTAGGTGGGCCCATAACTTAGTCGAGAGAATTTCCTAAGGGGAAAAATCTCGCTAGGGTGAACCAAGCTCAATACTATGTTACAATGTAATGAATGACTAAAACAGAAAGTACAAACAAGATATATGCAAAACCTAACCCTAGTGCAAGTACAAAATAACACAAGGGAGAACACTTAGACTAGAACAACACAAACTATAGAATTATAGTTTGACAGTTTACCCTAAATAGTGCCCCCAACTTCATCCCAACCTTATCGTCATCCAATCCCTCTGGGATTCCTTAGATTTCCTTTCCGGGTTGCCTCTTTGTGGGGGACTGGTCAGCCTGGGGGGGGCGTTTCCTCCAAACGGCGCTTGACACCACCTTCACGCCCTCAGAGGGAGGGCAGAGAGGGCCTGCATCTGGACCAGGCCTCCCTTCCCACCACCCTTGGGGGCCGCGGCATCACTGACCCAGCTGCCGAAACCGCATCCTGCTAGACTGCCTGCCACTGGCCCTAGCCCTGGCTGCTGCGTCCCTCCTTGGCAACCTACTGCACCGCCGGCGCCCGCCCGCCCCACTTGCAACGCCATCTTACCGCCCTGGAGGACAGCCAACTCTCCGCTGCAGCTGACCTCTGCGAAACAAAGCTCTGCCGCGCCGCGGACCCACCCAGTCTACAGCGTGCAATATACTCGAAATCCACTTGGCCCGCTTTGCCGACCTTCTTGCCGGCAGCCGCCAGATGCACCCCAACCCGCTTTTTGGGCACTCCCAACGCAACGACTGCGCTCGCTGCTGGGGCCAGGTGCTGGGGACTGGCTTCACGCGCTCCCTTTCTCCCTTTCACACACTCCAGCTCTCACCAGCTCACTTCCCCACCGCGGTGGCCTTCCGACTCGGCCAACACCCGTACCCGATCCTCCAACACTGTGACTGCCGCTACAAAACCAATCTCAGCGGGGTTCAGCGCCCACAAGGAGACAAACCAGTTTACCATCACTCTGGCTCTCACCAGCTTACCTCTCCATCGCAGTAACCTTCCGACTCGGCCTCCCCCGTACCCGGTCCCCCAAACCTGTGACTGCCGTGACAAAAACCAATTCAGGCGGAGTTCATCGTCCACAAGGAGACAAACCAGGTTACCTCGGCGGTCAACAGATTCGCAGATCTTTCTATCCGGCACCCGGAATCTGCTTTTGATGGTGGCGGTGTGCCTCTGCGAAGTCAGCAACCATCGCTGACCCAATTTCCGAGCAAGACCCTCTCGTCCACAAGGGGACAAACCACTTTACCTCGGTGGTCAACAGGTTCGCTGACCTTTCTATCCGCCACTCCGGAATCTGTTTCTGAGACGACTCAAAAGCAGAAGCGGTGGATCTCTAAACACTGCGAAGGAGGGAGTGCTCGATGGAAGCAAACCTGTGACGGTTTCATGTCGTCGCTGCTCGCGCCTGTCAGCACGCCTCTTACCGCCGTGGAAGTTGCAGCAGAACGGTTAGTCTTCAACAGGGGGATACTTCTCAACGGGAAAACGCCGGTCGGAGGGCAGAAAGCCGCTAAGGGCCTGTGGGAGGTGCGCCTAGGTGACCTCGTTGTGCCTGCGGCTGACGGGGGGGTGGTAGCCAAGAGTGAGGAAACCCTAGCAAGGTCGCTGGGGGGCTTGGGGCCTGCTCAGCTGGCTCTGAAAGGCCTTGCTGCAGCACCTGAGAACTGGAGAGATCTCCTGCTGGCCTCGTCAGAAGGGAACCACGGCGCAGAAGCGGGGAGAAGAGCAGCGGGGGTTCCGGGGGCAAAGCTGTTCCGCACACCTATTTTCCACCTCGGCCAGATCGCCCCGCTAAAGCAACTGCGGTTAGCCTGGAGAAAGTAGGGCTACTCGGAGCGGCGGAGGGAAAAGTGGGCCAACTGGTGGGAGGGGGAAATTGCCTGGAAGCGGGTGTCGAAGATTCGGGACTCGCTCACCACGCCTAGTCGCAAGCGGGATGTTTCAATCAGGGTACACAATTTTAACCTCCAGGTGGGAGAAAGGTTGGCTTTCCTCAGCTCGAAGCCAAAGTGTCGGTACCGTAAGGAGGAAGAGACGCTGGAGCACTGTCTGTTTGAGTGCCCAACGATTCAGCCCGTGGTTGGGGCTTTGAGAACGGCCCTTCGGATGATCAATCCTGGGCGCACTAACTCCTCGCGGGGGGGCCTCCTTTTCAAACGGGCGGCGTCCAGCTCAGCGTTTCCGGAGGCAACGCTAACTGCCATCACTATTCATCAGCTGTGGGTCAATCGAGAGGTGTGGTGTGAGTTAGCTTTCCGGGACCGAAAATTCCGGTTGAGGCGGGTTCTGTGGAGGATTGAGGCGGCCTTTCGGCTGCATCGAGAATTTTCATGAAACACGCGGGAGAGAAGCTGCAAAAGGACAGCGCATCCGGGCAGAAAGTGGCACGTGGAGGGGGGCGCATTCAGGAGATAAGACTGTTGGACCGCATCAAGGACAGAGACGCCAGGAAATGGACGTGGAAGGCTGGTTTCGCGGAGGCCATCTGGACACGGCCGAAAAGGGGCGGCATCAGGTCAGGGCAGCTACACTGAGGCGGGTTTGCACCCGGCCTCCAAGCGCAGTTACGACTGTTCTTGATTTGTACACTTGCCTTTTTCGGTGTATATTATATTTCAATTACCAAAAAAAAAAAAAAAAAAAAAAAAAAAAAAAAAACGGTGGGGCTCTGTGACTGCAGCATCACCGCCACAAGGAGGCAAACCAGCCTACCTCGCTGGTCAACAGGTTCGCTGACCTTTCTATCTAACACCCGGAATCTGCTTCTGAGTCGACTCAGGAGCGGTGTGGCTCTGTGACGCCACCAACAAACCAGTTTACCGCGGTGGTCAACAACTCGGCTGATCTTTCTACTCGGCACCCGGAATCAGGAGCGGTGTGGCTCTGCCAAGTCACCAACCATTGCTGACCCAATCTTCGAGCAACACCCCTTCCCTCGCCTGGGAGGACATTGGCTAGGCTGGGCCGTTGCCGCTGCTGCACGGTCTATGGAGAGCCTCCACCGGCCACCCATTTGCCAGGAATGGTTATGGTGCGACCTGGTCAGCTTGCTCCCGGAAGGGCACTGGCCGGGCTGCTGTCACTACCGGTTGTGTTTGGACTAAGGAGAACCTTTACTGGGTTCTTCGCCATGGGCGTCGCGACATGTGCTGGGCACACACAACTCTGCTGGCAGAGCCACCGCTGCTGTCCGGTCTAAGGAGTGCCTTTACCGGCCACCCATCCGCCAGCAATGGGTTGGGTTGTTCGCCATGGCCGTCGAGACATATGCCCGCATCCCTGCTGGGGTCCTCAACTTCTTGCGCATGTGATGTGCCAAGAGTCATCACAATGCATCGCATTGGCGCTGAGTTGGCAGCCAGGCGCCATCACAACCCGCCATCACAATGTGCCTCCAGATTCCGAGGCACTAAAGCTGTGCCACCAGAACCGCCAGAGGAGGGCTGTGGAGACAGTTTGTGGCCGTGGCTGGTGGCCGCAGAGCACGAGCCAATGGCTGCTCTGGCTGTGCCCTTTGCTAGGAGACCAGCTACTTGCTTTGCCAATTACCTGTATGTTATGTCGATGACTAGTACAGCGGACCATTTCATGAAGAGGAAAGAGGAAGAGGAACGAGAGGAGGGAAGAGGAAAGAGAGGGAATGAAGGGGAAGGAGAGGGAATGAAGGGGAAAGAGAGGGAATGAAGAGAAGAGAAGGATTGAATAGGAAGCCCAGACCAGACTGCTGTCGCTCTGCCCTCTGCCGCCCCTCTGCCCTCTGCTGCCCCTCTGCCCTCTGCCGCCCCTCTGCCCTCTGCTGCCCCTCTGCCCTCTGCCGCCCCTCTGCCCTCTGCTGTCCCTCTGCCCTCTGCCGCCCCTCTGCCCTCTGCCGCGCCGCTGCCCTCTGTCGCGGGGGGCGTGGAGGTCAAGATGGTGCCCCATGGCCCTATCCTCCTCCTCCTCCTCCTCCTCCTCCTCCTCCTCCTCCTCCTCCTCCTCCTCCTCCTCCTCCTCCTCCTCCTCCTCCTCCTCCTCCTCCTCCTCCTCCTCCTCCTCAGCGACGTCTCTTTGGCGCGCTGCACCACCACCACTTCCCCCTGGTGTCGTGTCAGCATCATGCATGGAAGGGCTGGATGGAAGGACGAGACGGCGCCCATGGCCCCCTCCTCCTCCTGCAGCATGTCCCTGCCCTGAGGCGCGCACGGTAGTCGGCAGGGAAGGCAGCGGAGAGGAAGCGGTGCAGCAGCCATCCAGCACACCCAATAGCCCCTCCCCTCTCGCATCCCCTACACCTCCACCCTCGCTCTTGCGCCCTACACCTCTGCTCTGGGGCTTTGCCTCTGCCTCAAGCCATGGGGGCGAGGAGGGCGAGAAGGTCCCCATGGCGCGCCCCTCCACTCCCCATGGCGCGCCCCTCCACTCCCCATGGCGCGCCCCTCCACTCCCCATGGCGCGCCCCTCCACTCCCCATGGCGCGCCCCTCCACTCCCCATGGCGCGCCCCTCCACTCCCCATGGCGCGCCCCTCCACTCCCCATGACGCGCCCCTCCACTCCCCATGGCGCGCCCCTCCACTCCCCATGGCGCGCCCCTCCACTCCCCATGGCGCGCCCCTCCACTCCCCATGACGCTCCCCTCCACTCCCCATGACGCGCCCCTCCACTCCCCTTGCGCGCCCCTCCACTCCCCTTGCGCGCCCCTCCACTCCCCTTGCGTGCGCCAGCTCTGCTCTGGGGCTCTGCCTCTGCCTCTGCCTCCGCGGTAGTCGGCGGGGAAGGCCGCAGGAGGAAGCGGTGCAGCAGCCAGCCAGCACACCCCGGGGAAGTGCCAGCAAAGTGCCTGCGAAGGCGCGGCGGCAGTGCGGCACATGGGGCACATGCGGCACATGGGGCACATGGGGCACATGGGGCACATGGGGCACATGGGGCAGCGGGAGGTTGCTACACATGACAGCAGATTAAAGGCTCCTGCCGTAGGGCGCAATGCAAGAGCACCAGAAGTACAACATGTGGCCGCATGCTGAATGGGGGTGGGGAAGCCGGGGAAAAGGAGGGGGGAGAGAAGACGGAAGTGGGAGAGGAGACGGAAGAGGGAGAGGAGAGGGAAGAGGGAGAGGAGTGGGAAGAGGGAGAGGAGAGGGAAGAGGGAGAGGAGAGGGAAGAGGGAGAGAGGGAAGAGGGAGAGGAGAGGGACGAGGGAGAGACAAGGGAAGAGGGAGAGACGCGTGGTGAATAAGTGTGGCCTGGACCAGGGACACGTGTGCCCCCATAACATGGCATGGCATGGCATGGCACGGCACGGCACGGCAGGTATGGCATGGCATGGCATGGCATGGCATGGCATGGCATGGCACAGCATGGCATGGCATGGCATGGCACGGCATGGCACGGCATGGCATGGCATGGCATGGCATGGCATGGCATGGCACGGCATGGCACAGCATGGCATGGCATGGCATGGCACGGCACGGCACGGCAGGTATGGCATGGCATGGCATGGCATGGCATGGCATGGCATGGCACAGCATGGCATGGCATGGCATGGCACGGCATGGCACGGCATGGCATGGCATGGCATGGCATGGCATGGCATGGCATGGCATGGCACGGCATGGCACAGCATGGCATGGCATGGCATGGCACGGCACGGCACGGCAGGTATGGCATGGCATGGCATGGCATGGCATGGCATGGCATGGCATGGCATGGCACAGCATGGCATGGCATGGCATGGCACGGCATGGCACGGCATGGCACGGCATGGCATGGCATGGCATGGCATGGCACAGCATGGCATGGCATGGCACGGCATGGCATGGCATGGCATGGCATGGCATGGCACAGCATGGCATGGCATGGCATGGCATGGCATGGCATGGCATGGCATGGCACAGCATGGCATGGCATGGCATGGCACGGCATGGCACGGCATGGCATGGCATGGCATGGCATGGCATGGCATGGCATGGCACGGCATGGCACAGCATGGCATGGCATGGCATGGCACGGCACGGCACGGCAGGTATGGCATGGCATGGCATGGCATGGCATGGCACGGCATGGCATGGCATGGCATGGCACGGCATGGCATGGCATGGCATGGCATGGCATGGCATGGCACGGCATGGCACAGCATGGCATGGCATGGCATGGCACGGCACGGCACGGCAGGTATGGCATGGCATGGCATGGCATGGCATGGCATGGCATGGCATGGCACAGCATGGCATGGCATGGCATGGCACGGCATGGCATGGCATGGCATGGCACGGCATGGCATGGCATGGCATGGCATGGCATGGCATGGCATGGCATGGCATGGCATGGCATGGCATGGCACGGCATGGCATGGCATGGCATGGCACGGCATGGCATGGCATGGCATGGCATGGCATGGCATGGCATGGCATGGCATGGCATGGCATGGCATGGCATGGCACGGCATGGCACAGCATGGCACAGCATGGCACAGCATGGCATGGCATGGCATGGCACGGCACGGCACGGCAGGTATGGCATGGCATGGCATGGCATGGCATGGCACGGCATGGCATGGCATGGCATGGCACGGCATGGCATGGCATGGCATGGCATGGCATGGCATGGCACGGCATGGCACAGCATGGCATGGCATGGCATGGCACGGCACGGCACGGCAGGTATGGCATGGCATGGCATGGCATGGCATGGCATGGCATGGCATGGCACAGCATGGCATGGCATGGCATGGCACGGCATGGCATGGCATGGCATGGCACGGCATGGCATGGCATGGCATGGCATGGCATGGCATGGCATGGCATGGCATGGCATGGCATGGCACGGCATGGCACAGCATGGCATGGCATGGCATGGCACGGCACGGCACGGCAGGTATGGCATGGCATGGCATGGCATGGCATGGCATGGCATGGCACAGCATGGCATGGCATGGCATGGCACGGCATGGCATGGCATGGCATGGCACGGCATGGCATGGCATGGCATGGCATGGCATGGCATGGCATGGCATGGCATGGCATGGCATGGCATGGCATGGCACGGCACGGCATGGCATGGCATGGCATGGCACGGCATGGCATGGCATGGCATGGCATGGCATGGCATGGCATGGCATGGCATGGCATGGCATGGCATGGCATGGCACGGCATGGCACAGCATGGCACAGCATGGCACAGCATGGCATGGCATGGCATGGCACGGCACGGCACGGCAGGTATGGCATGGCATGGCATGGCATGGCATGGCACGGCATGGCATGGCATGGCATGGCACGGCATGGCATGGCATGGCATGGCATGGCATGGCATGGCACGGCATGGCACAGCATGGCATGGCATGGCATGGCACGGCACGGCACGGCAGGTATGGCATGGCATGGCATGGCATGGCATGGCATGGCATGGCATGGCACAGCATGGCATGGCATGGCATGGCACGGCATGGCATGGCATGGCATGGCACGGCATGGCATGGCATGGCATGGCATGGCATGGCATGGCATGGCATGGCATGGCATGGCATGGCATGGCACGGCATGGCATGGCATGGCATGGCACGGCATGGCATGGCATGGCATGGCATGGCATGGCATGGCATGGCATGGCATGGCATGGCATGGCATGGCATGGCACGGCATGGCACAGCATGGCACAGCATGGCACAGCATGGCACAGCATGGCATGGCATGCTTCCACGTGCGAGGTGAGGCCTCTGTACTGTGCGGCTGCTCTCAAAGACGGGTTTCATGGCGCGATGACTCTGCTGTACGGCACCACCACTCGGTACCGCACTGTGCCGTGATCCAGCGTCGCCGTGGACTTCTGAACCACACTGAACCGGACAGAACAGTCGCTCTAGCTCTTGCTGATTCGTAGAGTTTCATCGCAAAGAGCCCTGAGGCCACTGCTGCTGAGTTTCCGAGGCGCCTCAAAAAGAACTCAGGGGCCACTGAGTGTTTCCGACAACACTTAGAATGTCGAGGGCGGGTTCCTATCCTAGCTGGCCCGAGCCAGACTAAGGCTGCCTGCCTGACACACGGTGGTTGGCCAATGCGGCCGCCAGGCAGTAGTAGAGAAGGAGAGGGCGGCATGTGCTTAGCGAGCGGGAGTGATGCTGTCCGCAGGAGAGAAGGGAGCAGGGAGGAGGGAGCAGGGAGGAGGGAGCAGGGAGGAGGGAGGACGGAGGAGGGAGGACGGAGGAGGGAGCAGCAAGGAGGGAGCAAGGAGGAGGGAGCAGGGAGGAGGGAGCAGGGAGGAAGGAGCAGCAACAGTTGCGCGAGCAGGGAGTTGTGAGGTGACAATGAGGACAACTTGAACATCCCACCGACCCGGGATGATGTCAAGGGGACAAGCAAGGGTGGTTGAATATCAGCACGTCACGGAATTCATGACACCCGCCTTTTTGGAGTCAGTCAATCCGACTTTTTCCCGCACAGTCGTTTCGTATCGTTGAGAAAATGGCGCCGGAAGCGCTCCGTCAAGCTCGGGTTTTAGGATGATACGTCGAATTCACACAGTTGACGGCAGAAACGCACCGTTATGGGTCCTGGGTCGCACAGGCGGGTTCAACCGCAGCGGAATCAGCCGTGCATCGCGGCTGCAGGTGTTTGTTTCGCTGTCCAGTAAAGCTCCATAAATGTTGCAAATGTGTCGATGTAGTATAATGGTCAGTATCTCCGCCTGTCACGCGGAAGATCCGGGTTCGATCCCCGGCATCGGCGATTCGGTTATGTTCGGGCGTGTTCTGCAGGCTATTGACTCCCCCCACGGAACCTGCCTGTTGGCTTCTAGCAGCTAAATTTTGGGCGGCAAACGTCTGGCTGCCCAAAAATTCAAGTCAGGGGAGCAACCTCACGACGGGAGAGCATAGGCTGCAGAACAGGCCACTTGGGGGACAGACTCAAGAAGACGGAACAAACCTCAAGCCTTCATGCTCTGGCAACTGGATAATCTAGCCTATCCATTGCCCATCCATCCCAAATGGTGGAATGACGACGGGATAGCTTAGGGCTAAGGCACGGGGTGAACCCAAACATTGCTCCACAAATGGGACAAACCCATCTGTCAAAACACCCTGGTGCGCTGAATGTGGCTGAGCAAAAAAAAACCGATCGAACTGAACTCGTCATTCAGCCCATCACCTTTTGTGGTACACTTTTTACCTAGAGCAGGAACCGGCCCCAAATGTTTTTGCATTTTTAAGGTTTACGGGGTGTTGCCCGGAACCTGCAGCAACCACCAGCGCCCCAGGCGCTACCCCACTTCGCCAGCAACGCCAACCGCCGCCACCTCCGCCGCCCCTGCTGCTGTGGGGGGGAGGTTGAAGGGTGAGGGTGGGAGGGGGGGGAGGGGCAGCCGTGACCAAGCACTCCCGTCGCTCCCCGCGCTGATGTGGATGAAGAGACTGGTTGTCCACTTACGCCCCCCCCCTTTCCTCCCCTCCTCTCCTCTTCCTATTCTCTCGTTGCTCCCTGCTCACCTCTCTCTCCTACCAGACCACACCCTGCTACCCACTCTCTCACACCCGCTTCTCTCATACCCTCCTCTCTCCCACCTTCCTGTGCACCGGAACCAGCTGCTAACAACCTCCCTCTCCTCTCCCTGCTCGCTCTCCTTTCTCCTCCGTCACCTCCTCCCTCCTTTCCGATTACCCCTGTTCCTCGTCCTCCCTCCCTTCCTTCCCTCCTTTGTCTCGCATGCTCGCTGCTTCCCATGCGCCCAGCACCCACCATCCCACCCCTCTCATTCTCACCCCTCTCATTCTCACCCCTCTCATTCTCACCCCTCTCATTCTCACCCCTCTCATTCTCACCCCTCTCATTCTCACCCCTCTCACCCCTCTCACCGTCACACTTCTCACCCTCACCACTCTCACCCCCCTCATCCCTCTCAACCCTCTCACCCCTCTCAACCCTCTCCCCCCCTTTACCCCTCTCACTCCTGTGATCCATACCACCCCTCTCATCCTCGCGCCTCCCCTGCACCCTCTCCCCACAAACTCCATCAACCTAATTCTCCTCTCAATTCTAAGCATTCTGAGTCGCCCTGTCCCATCTGCCTCTCTCCTGCTCTCGCCTCTCTCTTGTCGCCTCTCTCCTGCTTTCACCTCTCCAGTTCACACTCTGTTGCTTGCGGTTCTGCAGGGCGGCAGGGAAGAGGGCGGAGAGGGCGGCATGCAGCGGCACACATGGCTCCACTCGCCTCGTTGGCTGCACTGCCCCACACTGCACACACCGCCTGCCGTCCCTCCATGCCTCACCCACAGCAGTACTGGCATAAGCAGCAGCAGTGGTGGTAGCAGCACCAGTGGCACCACCACCACCACCACCACCACCATTTGCAGCGACCTCAGCAGCACACGCAGCAGCAAGGACGGAGTGGGGTGGGAGAGTGCATGGAGGGAGGGTGAGCGGCAGGGGGGTGGGTGCCGGGAGGGTGTGGGGTGGGATGTGATGAGGCAAGGAGGGGGAAGAGTGGCGAAGGGGAAGGGGAGGAGGGGAGAAGGAGGGAGCAGGGGGGGGAGGAGGTGTGGGGAGGGGGGCGAGAAAGGGCGTGCAGGGGAGAGAGGAGGAGAGGATGGATGGTTGGGTAAATAACGAGGTTTCTCAAAAGGGTGAGAGAGGGCATGGCGGATAAAGGTGTGGGACGTCAAGAGGGGGCATGAAGGGGGATGGCTGAGTATCTACCGAGAATTTAGAAAGGACGAGACGAGAAGGGGCATGCAGGTGGATGCGTTGACTCATGAGGGCGGGAAAACCAGAAAGTTTGGAGGGTGTGTAAGTGGAGGGCGTGTGAGCGGAGGGTGTGTGAGTGGAGGGTGTGTGAATGAAGGTTGGGACGGAGGATATGAGAGGGGTAACCTTACAGTTGACTGCACTTGACCCACCATCACCGCACTGGACGCGCTTGACCCACCATCCCTATGGCGCGCCCCTCCTGCGCAACATCAGAGTGGAGCGCTGCACCACCATTCCCCCGCACAACCAGCTCCACACCATCTGCCCATCTGCACCACCATTCCCCCGCACTACCAGCTCCACACCATCTGCCCATCTGCACCACCATTCCCCCGCACTACCAGCTCCACACCATCTACCCATCTGCACCACCATTCCCCCGCACTACCAGCTCCACACCATCTGCCCATCTGCACCACCATTCCCCCGCACTACCAGCTCCACACCATCTACCCATCTGCACCACCATTCCCCCGCACTACCAGCTCCACACCATCTGCCCATCTGCACCACCATTCCCCCGCACTACCAGCTCCACACCATCTGCCCATCTGCACCACCATTCCCCCGCACTACCAGCTCCACACCATCTACCCATCTGCACCACCATTCCCCCGCACTACCAGCTCCACACCATCTGCCCATCTGCACCACCATTCCCCCGCACTACCAGCTCCACACCATCTACCCATCTGCACCACCATTCCCCCGCACTACCAGCTCCACACCATCTGCCCATCTGCACCACCATTCCCCCGCACTACCAGCTCCACACCATCTGCCCATCTGCACCACCATTCCCCCGCACTACCAGCTCCACACCATCTGCCCATCTGCACCACCATTCCCCCGCACTACCAGCTCCACACCATCTGCCCATCTGCACCACCATTCCCCCGCACTACCAGCTCCACACCATCTGCCCATCTGCACCACCATTCCCCCGCACTACCAGCTCCACACCATCTGCCCATCTGCACCACCATTCCCCCGCACTACCAGCTCCACACCATCTGCCCATCTGCACCACCATTCCCCCGCACTACCAGCTCCACACCATCTGCCCATCTGCACCACCATTCCCCCGCACTACCAGCTCCACACCATCTACCCATCTGCACCACCATTCCCCCGCACTACCAGCTCTGCCTCAAGCAGGGAGGGCGCAAGGGGGGGAGGAGGCGCAGGGGACGCGGGGGGGGACGCGGAGGACGCGGGGGGCGTGGAGGGCGACAAGGTGCCCATCGCCCCCTCCTCCTCCCAGCAAGTCCCTCTGGAAATCTGCACCACCACTCCCCTCCATGACCAGCTCTGCCTCAAGAGCGGAGGGCAAGGAGGGCGACAAGGTGCCCACAGCCCTCGCCCCCTGGCGCCGAGTCAGCGTCAAGCATGGAGGGCAATAAGGACGAGAAGGCGCGCCCATGGACCTCTCCTCCTCCAGCAGCACGTCTCTTAGGCGAGCTGCACCACCACAGCTTCACCCTGGCGCCGTATCAGCATCATGCATGGAAGGCGCGGGAGGGCGTAAGAGGCAGGGGGGGCACGGGGTTCAAGATGGTGCCCACAGCCCTCTCCTCCTGAAGCACGTCCCTCTTTGGCGCGCTGCACCACCACCACTCCCCCCTGGCGCCATGTCAACGTCAAGCATGGAGGGCAAGGAGGGCGAGAGGGCGCCCCATGGCCCTCTCCTCCTGCAGCACAGCACGTCCCCCTTTGGCGCGCTGCACCCCCACCACTTCCTCCCCCCGGCGTTGTGTCAGCGTCATGCAGGAAGGGCGAGAAGGGCGAGACAGCGCCCATGGCCCTCTCCCCGTGCAGCACGTCCCTGAGGCGTGCGCGGAAGTTGGTGAGGAAGGTCCTTATGGCGGCGAGGAAGCTGTGCAGAAGGCGGCAGACCCCAGGGAAGGTTGTTGGGCTTGCAGGGGGGCTAGAAGGGCTTGGGGAAGAGATGTGCGCGGTGCTCTGCGGGGAAGGCAGCGGAGAGGAAGCGGTGACGCAAGCAGCACACTCCGGAGGATTCTAAAATATAAGTGCGCGAACGCAGGCACGATGCAGCAGGCACAGGAAGCCCCCCCCGTGTCACAGCGCAAAGGCCCTGTGTGGAGAGGAAGCGGTGCAGCAGCCAGCAGACGGAGGGGAAGTGCACGAAGGCGCGGCGGCACATGGGGCAGCGGCTCTCAGCGGCTCTCAGCAGCTTGCTGTAGGGCGTCATGGTGCGATGCAAACAGCAGAAGCAGAACACGTGCCCACACGCTGATGAGGTGGTGGTGGAGGGGGGGGGGAGGGGGAGTGAGGGAAGGGGGAAGGGGGGCTGTAGGGCGTCATGGCACCGTGCACGCACCAGCAGCAGGCAACACGCAGCCGCACGCTGATGGGGGAAAAGTGCCGGGGGGGGGAGAGGGGGAAAGGGGGGGGAGAGGGGAAGGGAGAGGTGGGTGGTTGAGAATATTGGCAGCAGGGCAAGGCTCTCGCGATGCACGCAGGAGAAGAAGAACACGTGGCCACACGCTGAGGGAAGAAGGGGAAGTGGGGGAGAGGTGGGAAGTGCGGAGGAGTGGGGAAGGGGAAGATGGAGAGGCGGTAGGGAGTAAGCATGGCAGCAGCACATGGCGCGGTGCACGCAGCAGAAGACGAGGAGCATGGCGCGGTGCACCTCGTTTTGAGTCGACTCAAGAGTAAGCATGGCAGCGGCACATGGCACGGTGCACGCAGCAGAGGCAGAACACGTGGCCCATGCTGAACAGGGTTATGGGGGGGTGTGGGAAGGGGAGGCGAGGCAGGGTGGTGAGTGGGAAGGAAAGGCACGCATGTATACGTGCATGTCTGGACGCGCGAGGCCTCTGCACAGCGGCTAGCAGCTCTCGGAATAGGCCGTCTCGGCCCCATCCATGTTTCTGTATGGCCCCACCGCATTGTGCCGTGATCCACCGCCTCCGAGGTCGGCTTTACCGCATTGCACCGCACAGAACGTACAGATACCAAAAGGCGTTCAAGCTCTCCCTGGTTCATCAAAACCTAACGGCGAAACGCACGCTAGCTCTAAGGCCATTAATGTTACCTACCCGGTAAGGGCCCTTATGTTTCCAGCAACACTTTAGTGAATCGTGGAGTGGCGGTTCCTGCCTGGCGTGGTTTCATTGCAGTGGGGTATGGCTATTTGACACAAGTGACAAGTGAGCGGCAGATAAGCAGTCCGTTGCTAACAGAGGAGCAGGGAGCAGGGAACAGGGAGGAGGAAGAAGGGAACAGGGAGGAGGAAGAAGGGAACAGGGAGGAGGGAGGAGGGAGGAGGCAACAAGCAGCAGGGAGCACGGAGCAGGGAGGAGGGAGGAGGGAAAACCAACAGTTGCGCGAGTAGGGAGTTGTGAGGTGACAATGAGGACAACTTGAACATCCCACCGACCTGGGATGATGCAAAGAGGACTGGCAAGGGTGGTTGAGTCTCAACATGGCATGGGATTAATGCGCGTCACAGAATTCACGACACCCGCCTTTCTGGAGTAACTCAATCCGACTTTCCCCGCATCAGTCGATTCGATTCTGAACGTTGAGAAAATGGCGCCATAAGCGCTCCGTCAAGCTCGGGTTTTAAGAGGATACGTCGAAAGCGCGCAGTTGACGGCCAGAAACGCACTGTTGACGACGGGCTTGAAGACCAGACCGCGGCACATAGGACAAAGAAGCCGTCCGCTGAGAGGTCAACGGTCGCGGGTCGCACAGGCGGACGGTTCGACCGCTGCAGAACCAGCCGTGCATCGCGGACCGCAGGCTGTGCATTTTATATATAAACAAATTTAACTGCAGATAAGGGCGGGTCCAGCGCGTACGTTTACAGGTACTATACAGTTCATTCGTAGTGGTTTGAAAAGATATCAGGCGGTGCACAATGGTTTTGAAATCGCACTGTTTTGAACCGTGACGCAATACGTATTACCGTACTCCATGAACTGTAATGTACGGGCCCTAACCGTGTCGATGTAGTATAATGGTCAGTATCTCCGCCTGTCACGCGGAAGATCCGGGTTCGATCCCCGGCATCGGCGGGACATCTTTTCGGCTGGTAAACACTTGTGAACCTCTCTTCTTATGAACCTCTCTTCTTTACCCATTTGTTTTGACCACCCCTGGTCGCTCATACAGTATTATCATGATCATTAGACATACAGCATTGCAATGGAGTGCTGCATACCTTTGTCTTTTTGTGTTTGGTCAAAAGCTGAGTCAGATTAGTGATATTGTACCAGCATTAGAAACAGATTTCCGAAACCAGGTGCCAGATGTGCAGGAAATCTAGGACATCCTCATTTCAAGCTCCCAGAAATGTAGGCACGTTCTTCCAGAAAATCAAGCGCAGTAGTCAGCACTCTGAAACTCATTACACTCAACCACGCGGGCTGAATGACGTCCATCCAGCATTCTCAAGTAGAATCACTCAACCCGATGCTGCCTTCCCATCACTGCCAGCCTGAAAAGAGAGATAAGAGGTGAGGAATGAACGAGAGGTGAGGGGTGAACGAGTGGTGAGGGATGAACGAGAGGTGAGGGATGTACGAGTGGTGAGGGAGTGGATGATTAAGTGTTAGCACCATTGATGATCGTGCAAAAAAAACCACGAGTGAGCATGCTTATGCATCATAAAAAAACACAAACGTGCATGGGTAGACACATCAGTAATGAATGGACCGTTAACGAGAGGAGAAACAGTGGGGCGGGATAGAACGGGTTGAAGGAGCGGATGGGGAGGGGGGAGGGGGGTGGAGAGGGATGGTGGGAGAGAGAGAGGGAATGAGAGAGTGTGTGAGAGGCAAGGAGAGAAGACGATTTCTCACAGCAGAGCGAGCACGGTCAAGGGACTTGGCGGGAGACTTGGATGGAGAGGCGAATCAAGCAGAGCCCGGCAAGGGAGGGGAAGGAGGGCTCACAGGAGAGCGAGAACGCTCGGGGGACTTGGCAGGGGACTTGGATCGAGAGCGCGAGCGCGAGGGCGACTTGGAACCACTCTTCTTAGGCTGCATGGGAGCAGGGAAAGGGAAATGAGGGGGGGGAAATTGGGGGGGGGGGAAAGAGGGGGGGGGAGGGGGGTGTGCAGTCTGGTTGAGAATGGACGGCAGCAAGAGGGCGACTTGGAGCCACTCTTCTTGGGCAGCAGAGGGAGGGGTGGGGGGAAGGGGGGTGAGACGAGGGGCGATGTGACGAGGGAGGAGCGAGAGGGCGACTTGGAACCACTCTTCTTAGGCTGCAGGGCAGCAGGGAAGTGGAGGAGGGTTGTGGGGAAAGGGTGGCGGGGTGTATTCTGGGTGAGAATGGACAGCAGCAAGAGGGAGACTTGCAGCCAGTCTTCTTGGGCTGCATGGGAGCAGGGAAGTGGAAGGGAGGCAAGGGGGGGGGAGTCTGGTTGAGACTTGCAGCCAGTCTTCTTGGGCTGCATGGGAGCAGGGAAGTGGAAGGGAGGCAAGGGGGGGGGAGTCTGGTTGAGACTTGCAGCCAGTCTTCTTGGGCTGCATGGGAGCAGGGAAGTGGAAGGGAGGCAAGGGGGGGGGAGTCTGGTTGAGACTTGCAGCCAGTCTTCTTGGGCTGCATGGGAGCAGGGAAGTCGAGAGGGATGGGCGTGGGTGAAGGGGGAGGGGGGAGGGGGGAGGGGAGGAGGGAGGGAAGGGGGAGGAGATCAGGGAGGAGGGGCTGTAGGTGTAGACTGGGTGAGAATGGACGGCTGCAAGAAAGAGGGAGACTTGCAGCCACTCAAGATGCATGGGAGCAGGGAGGAGGGGGTGTAGGTGTAGACTGGGTGAGAATGGACGGCTGCAAGAAAGAGGGAGACTTGCAGCCACTCAAGATGCATGGGAGCAGGGAGGAGGGGCTGTAGGTGTAGACTGGGTGAGAATGGACGGCTGCAAGAAAGAGGGAGACTTGCAGCCACTCAAGATGCATGGGAGCAGGGAGGAGGGGGTGTAGGTGTAGACTGGGTGAGAATGGACGGCTGCAAGAAAGAGGGAGACTTGCAGCCACTCAAGATGCATGGGAGCAGGGAGGAGGGGGTGTAGGTGTAGACTGGGTGAGAATGGACGGCTGCAAGAAAGAGGGAGACTTGCAGCCACTCAAGATGCATGGGAGCAGGGAGGAGGGGGTGTAGGTGTAGACTGGGTGAGAATGGACGGCTGCAAGAAAGAGGGAGACTTGCAGCCACTCAAGATGCATGGGAGCAGGGAGGAGGGGGTGTAGGTGTAGACTGGGTGAGAATGGACGGCTGCAAGAAAGAGGGAGACTTGCAGCCACTCAAGATGCATGGGAGCAGGGAGGAGGGGGTGTAGGTGTAGACTGGGTGAGAATGGACGGCTGCAAGAAAGAGGGAGACTTGCAGCCACTCAAGATGCATGGGAGCAGGGAGGAGGGGGTGTAGGTGTAGACTGGGTGAGAATGGACGGCTGCAAGAAAGAGGGAGACTTGCAGCCACTCAAGATGCATGGGAGCAGGGAGGAGGGGGTGTAGGTGTAGACTGGGTGAGAATGGACGGCTGCAAGAAAGAGGGAGACTTGCAGCCACTCAAGATGCATGGGAGCAGGGAGGAGGGGGTGTAGGTGTAGACTGGGTGAGAATGGACGGCTGCAAGAAAGAGGGAGACTTGCAGCCACTCAAGATGCATGGGAGCAGGGAGGAGGGGGTGTAGGTGTAGACTGGGTGAGAATGGACGGCTGCAAGAAAGAGGGAGACTTGCAGCCACTCAAGATGCATGGGAGCAGGGAGGAGGGGGTGTAGGTGTAGACTGGGTGAGAATGGACGGCTGCAAGAAAGAGGGAGACTTGCAGCCACTCAAGATGCATGGGAGCAGGGAGGAGGGGGTGTAGGTGTAGACTGGGTGAGAATGGACGGCTGCAAGAAAGAGGGAGACTTGCAGCCACTCAAGATGCATGGGAGCAGGGAGGAGGGGGTGTAGGTGTAGACTGGGTGAGAATGGACGGCTGCAAGAAAGAGGGAGACTTGCAGCCACTCAAGATGCATGGGAGCAGGGAGGAGGGGCTGTAGGTGTAGACTGGGTGAGAATGGACGGCTGCAAGAAAGAGGGAGACTTGCAGCCACTCAAGATGCATGGGAGCAGGGAGGAGGGGGTGTAGGTGTAGACTGTGTGAGAATGGACGGCTGCAAGAAAGAGGGAGACTTGCCGCCACTCAAGATGCATGGGAGCAGGGAGGAGGGGGTGTAGGTGTAGACTGGGTGAAATGGACGGCTGCAAGAAAGAGGGAGACTTGCCGCCACTCTTATAAAGATGCATGGGAGCAGGGAGGAGGGGGTGTTGGTGTAGACTGGGTGAGAATGGACGGCTGCAAGAAAGAGGGAGACTTGCAGCCACTCAAGATGCATGGGAGCAGGGAGGAGGGGGTGTAGGTGTAGACTGGGTGAGAATGGACGGCTGCAAGAAAGAGGGAGACTTGCAGCCACTCTAGATGCATGGGAGCAGGGAGGAGGGGGTGTAGGTGTAGACTGGGTGAGAATGGACGGCTGCAAGAAAGAGGGAGACTTGCAGCCACTCAAGATGCATGGGAGCAGGGAGGAGGGGCTGTAGGTGTAGACTGGGTGAGAATGGACGGCTGCAAGAAAGAGGGAGACTTGCCGCCACTCTTATAAAGATGCATGGGAGCAGGGAGGAGGGGCTGTAGGTGTAGACTGGGTGAGAATGGACGGCTGCAAGAAAGAGGGAGACTTGCAGCCACTCAAGATGCATGGGAGCAGGGAGGAGGGGGTGTAGGTGTAGACTGGGTGAGAATGGACGGCTGCAAGAAAGAGGGAGACTTGCCGCCACTCAAGATGCATGGGAGCAGGGAGGAGGGGGTGTAGGTGTAGACTGGGTGACAATGGACGGCTGCAAGAAAGAGGGAGACTTGCAGCCACTCAAGATGCATGGGAGCAGGGAGGAGGGGGTGTAGGTGTAGACTGTGTGAGAATGGACGGCTGCAAGAAAGAGGGAGACTTGCCGCCACTCAAGATGCATGGGAGCAGGGAGGAGGGGGTGTAGGTGTAGACTGGGTGAGAATGGACGGCTGCAAGAAAGAGGGAGACTTGCCGCCACTCAAGATGCATGGGAGCAGGGAGGAGGGGGTGTAGGTGTAGACTGGGTGAGAATGGACGGCTGCAAGAAAGAGGGAGACTTGCCGCCACTCTTATAAAGATGCATGGGAGCAGGGAGGAGGGGCTGTAGGTGTAGACTGGGTGAGAATGGACGGCTGCAAGAAAGAGGGAGACTTGCCGCCACTCTTATAAAGATGCATGGGAGCAGGGAGGAGGGGCTGTAGGTGTAGACTGGGTGAGAATGGACGGCTGCAAGAAAGAGGGAGACTTGCAGCCACTCAAGATGCATGGGAGCAGGGAGGAGGGGGTGTAGGTGTAGACTGGGTGAGAATGGACGGCTGCAAGAAAGAGGGAGACTTGCCGCCACTCAAGATGCATGGGAGCAGGGAGGAGGGGGTGTAGGTGTAGACTGGGTGAGAATGGACGGCTGCAAGAAAGAGGGAGACTTGCAGCCACTCAAGATGCATGGGAGCAGGGAGGAGGGGGTGTAGGTGTAGACTGGGTGAGAATGGACGGCTGCAAGAAAGAGGGAGACTTGCAGCCACTCAAGATGCATGGGAGCAGGGAGGAGGGGGTGTAGGTGTAGACTGGGTGAGAATGGACGGCTGCAAGAAAGAGGGAGACTTGCCGCCACTCAAGATGCATGGGAGCAGGGAGGAGGGGGTGTAGGTGTAGACTGGGTGAGAATGGACGGCTGCAAGAAAGAGGGAGACTTGCCGCCACTCAAGATGCATGGGAGCAGGGAGGAGGGGGTGTAGGTGTAGACTGGGTGAGAATGGACGGCTGCAAGAAAGAGGGAGACTTGCCGCCACTCTTATAAAGATGCATGGGAGCAGGGAGGAGGGGCTGTAGGTGTAGACTGTGTGAGAATGGACGGCTGCAAGAAAGAGGGAGACTTGCAGCCACTCAAGATGCATGGGAGCAGGGAGGAGGGGGTGTAGGTGTAGACTGTGTGAGAATGGACGGCTGCAAGAAAGAGGGAGACTTGCCGCCACTCAAGATGCATGGGAGCAGGGAGGAGGGGGTGTAGGTGTAGACTGGGTGAGAATGGACGGCTGCAAGAAAGAGGGAGACTTGCCGCCACTCTTATAAAGATGCATGGGAGCAGGGAGGAGGGGGTGTAGGTGTAGACTGGGTGAGAATGGACGGCTGCAAGAAAGAGGGAGACTTGCAGCCACTCAAGATGCATGGGAGCAGGGAGGAGGGGGTGTAGGTGTAGACTGTGTGAGAATGGACGGCTGCAAGAAAGAGGGAGACTTGCCGCCACTCAAGATGCATGGGAGCAGGGAGGAGGGGGTGTAGGTGTAGACTGGGTGAGAATGGACGGCTGCAAGAAAGAGGGAGACTTGCCGCCACTCTTATAAAGATGCATGGGAGCAGGGAGGAGGGGCTGTAGGTGTAGACTGGGTGAGAATGGACGGCTGCAAGAAAGAGGGAGACTTGCAGCCACTCAAGATGCATGGGAGCAGGGAGGAGGGGCTGTAGGTGTAGACTGTGTGAGAATGGACGGCTGCAAGAAAGAGGGAGACTTGCCGCCACTCAAGATGCATGGGAGCAGGGAGGAGGGGGTGTAGGTGTAGACTGGGTGAGAATGGACGGCTGCAAGAAAGAGGGAGACTTGCCGCCACTCTTATAAAGATGCATGGGAGCAGGGAGGAGGGGGTGTAGGTGTAGACTGGGTGAGAATGGACGGCTGCAAGAAAGAGGGAGACTTGCAGCCACTCAAGATGCATGGGAGCAGGGAGGAGGGGGTGTAGGTGTAGACTGGGTGAGAATGGACGGCTGCAAGAAAGAGGGAGACTTGCAGCCACTCAAGATGCATGGGAGCAGGGAGGAGGGGCTGTAGGTGTAGACTGGGTGAGAATGGACGGCTGCAAGAAAGAGGGAGACTTGCAGCCACTCTAGATGCATGGGAGCAGGGAGGAGGGGGTGTAGGTGTAGACTGGGT